CTGTGTACAATATTATAGGGTGGGATTTATGAAGTGAGCTTGATTGAATTTGCATTCAAAACGTTTGATAATGCCGTGTTAATATTTACAAGTGGGAGAGGTTAAAGGAATAGTTCGCCCATCTTATGACAGATTTGTGTGAGGAACAGTTCTCCGTAGCTCTTAAATCTCATTCTATGCCAGTTTCGATGTCTGTAAGTTGATGACAAAAAATTCAGTTTTGGGTGAACTGTTCCTTTAAATGACAAGTGGGAGGGGTTCAGATGCAAGTGGGAGGGGTCACCGAACTGGTGGGAGGAGTTTATGTTACTGTTTGTTGAATGATTTTAGCATAGCTGTGAATTCTAAAGGGCAAGTCCTTTAAATTTTAGTAACGTGAATACTTTTAGATTAAGAAAAGTGTCTTTGGTTATTTAATACAGTACTTTATAATCTCATTACCTGAATGAATATCAAAGGCGTGTTGACGTGGACTAGCGTGGTGCTTTCGTATTTTGTATGAAGAAGGCAGCTTGTGTGGGTTCAATCTAAAGGGAGATCTCAGTTTGTAAAATGCTTTAAAAAGCCCTTTAAATCGTTTTATTCCCTCAGTGTTGGGCGATGAGCAGATATTTTCACTTTTTACTCTTTTAACATTTCTACTTGCCATCTCTGATCATTCACGGTGACCGTGTTACCAAGTGTTTTTAGAAAGGCTGTGTCTTTGTGTTGCATACAGGGTCCAGTTACTGCCGGCTAATAAGGGCTCATACTAAAAGATTGTTGGGATGATAACAGGACGTCTTTTTGTAACTTCTGTGGTGGATCTGTTTATGTTCTTTCACTCTTCAAAAGTCACTTTACAAAAATGGCCTGCTTGTAAAAACTGAGGGAGGGTGATAGCGGCTTTACCTGTGTGAGCGTGTGTGTGTGTTGTTTTTTCAGTATTAATTTCATTGAGTTTGCTGTTATGGCGAGTGCCGTTATTTTACAGCCAAGCACAAACTGCGATATAGCTACATTGTGCATAAAATTGATGTTTTCGTGTCTTTCATGAATAGAACTGTTACTGTTCTTTTCATTCTATGTTTTAACCACTATGTTTTTGTACTGGTTTTGTTTTTTGAGGTGGACTGCTGAGGTTTGTTCAACCATTTTGGGCCTCTGGTTGTTTTTAAGCACTACTTTTAGTTTGTTTTCTTCTTTTAATCTGTAAAACTGAGAGAACACTAATATTCGATCTGTCTGTTTCAAATAGAAATGCAGACATTTGCACAAACCGTATTTTTAAGTTGGACAGTATTGATTTTGAATGAACCACTGAGGAAAGCTTCTCTTCTTCTTCTATTCTCTGTAACGTGTGTATATAAACGTACAGTATACTGCCATTTCATATGCTTTATACTGGTTTGAATTGTCATACAAATACTAAAATGATTTTAACCATGGCTGCATTGTGATTTTTTTTACATTTGTTTTTCTATTTCCCTTTTTAAAGGAGTTGAACTCTTTTATAGACTTGTTTTGTTTTGTTTTGTTTTCAGACATTAACATGTAAATGAAAATAAGAAAGTGAACCGGTGTGTTCTGTTTGTTGAGTGCACAGACAAACACTTTTTTTTTTTTTTTCAGTATTTGATAAATACTTACTGGGCGATTGTGCAAATAAATTACATATAATTAAAATAAAAATATGCTTGTGTTGTTTGTTCTGAAACAGAAAACATTAAACATTGTAAATGTTAAAGTATGGTCCTTTTTAGATTCAAGTATTTTATTAATAGTAGAAAATCTATCTAGTTTATATTACCAATACATTATTAAAGCAATAAGCCCCAAGAAGCCGTGGTTTGCAGTGAATTTATAACAGCTAAGGGGCGTTGTCCGTTGTTCTAAAACCCCCATAGCTGTTATAAATTCACTGTAAACCACGGCTTGACGGGGATTATTGCTTTTATAAAACGGTTATTCCATATACGTAGTAAGGTTTCACAAAATAAAACAGCAAATAAAGTGTAATGATATTAATAAAAACAGTATTCTTCCACCAAACAATGTAGTTCCTCAGAATCAGTTGTGGTTGCAACAAAGTGGTTGCCGAGCAACACACAGAAGTAAACAAAGGTGTGTGTTTGTAGAGTAATTTACAACAGCTTCGAACGCGGCTCAGCCAAGCAGAATCAAGCACTGGAACTCTCCGTTTTATAAATAACCTTCTATGGTAAGTATTATGCTAACTGTTGAGAATTTCCCATTAAATGTGCATTCAGTAGTATTCTAGCCTAACGTTAGCATCGCTGTTCTTAGTGTACTTTAAGGTGTTAAACGCTGCACTGCCATCTATCGACAGGAATTAACATAGTTTCTTGAGTTGTATGGGAATTTCACTGATACTGGTGAGTTTTAAAGAGTGGTGCACACAATAAATAATACCCTTACCTGTCCCAACAACAGAAGAAACGAGTTGAGAGTCTCTATTCAGCATTTTCTACATTAAATCTTTCCTTGTTGTATGGATTACCGATGTTTACGCTCGTCTTTTTTCTTTGTAGTTCTTTCTGACTTCTAGCTTCAGACATTTTCAGCTTCTTCGGCCTAAATCACGATAATAACTGTCTATATAGTCCACTGTCTTCACTTTTCACATCACCAAGCATTACTAAGATGATCTTCATGCGTCTATATATTATTTAAGGCTGTTTAAGGAGCAGTGTTGGGCTCGTTACTCAAAAAAATTAATATATTACTCATTAGTTACTCCTTTCAAATGTAATAGCATTACTTTACCTATTACTCCCAGCCAACAGTAATTAGTTACACTCCCTGTTGAAAAAAACAGCATATGCTGGTTAGGTATGGGATGCTGGTTTAAGCTGGTCCTTTGCTGGTTTATGACCAGCTTAAACCAGCAAAGGACCAGCTTAAACCAGCAAAGGACCAGTTTAAACCAGCAAATGACCAGCTTAAACCAGCAAAGGACCAGCATAAACTAGCAAAGGACCATCTTAAACAAGCATCCCAGCGTCAAAACATACCTAACCAGCATATGCTGGTTTCTTCAACAGGGCTGCTAGTTACATTACCAGAAAAATTAGAATTGCACAATTTCTGCAGCCTGTGATTCGTTTGCGTAGACTCGAGCCTGTGATGCATGAAAGTTGCAGATAAATGAAGAGTACAACTGATTCTTATACCACATTTATAAATATGTATTTATTTGGTTTCATATGTCATCTGTCAATGTGCCTCTTTGTTGATACTGGAATTCCTGACAAGTATATTTGGCGCTAAATCCGCATATGTCAAATTACAGAACAACTCTGGTTGTGTTTGGGAGCTCCTTGACTGAAAGGATAACCTATAATGAGTTTTTTTTTTGGATTATGTGAAAAACAACTCAGTTGTTAGTCTGTCTGGTACATGAGAGGAAAAGTCACACAATCTTTGGCTCAGTGGGAAACTGTCTCCTCACAACAAGAAGGTCCCAAACAAGAAGGTTTGAATCCCAGCTGAACCAAAAAGTCTTTCCTTCAGATCTGGTGTCTCTCATAATCTAAAGATGTGTGAATTACAGATGCAAGGTGTGAGAGAAGATGTGTTTATATTCATGATTTTTGGACAAACACACACTGTCTGTAAGTTGCTTTGCAATTACAAATGGAAATTACATTGAAATAAACGTGAGTTTTAATTTAATGCATCCCGAAAGAGTTTATTTGGTCCAGAAACAGTATAAATTATGTTTATATGAGACCTTAAATTATGTTGAAAGCATAATGACCACATTTGAACTAGTTTTTAACCTTCTACGGAGGTTCCATGAACGTCTACGGACACACATTATGAAAGCAACCCGCACCAACACTTTTTCCCTGCTTTTGTACTATTATGTCTGTATTTCATGTAAGTGTACACCATTCAGATGACTCTTCACGAAACACACTTTATTTTTTAATGTGTGAAACTTGGAAAAAAATTGTGAAAGAAAAGGAATGTTCTTTTTTTCTTTTCTATCCTTATATTCTATTCCTTCATTTAAAAATGATGTTTAATGCTATATTTGATACACAAACACTCATACAAATGACATGAATCTTTATCACGTATCATCTTGTACTGCATTGTTATTAAAGCAGAGCACATCCTCACTGCTAAAGCTCAATTTGGACTGATGTTTTAGTCCTTTACATAGAACATAGCCATGTGTGATTCTTTGGAACACGTGAATAATCAATTATATCTGTGTTAGGCCTGCTGTTTGCATACAATATTCCAGCTGCATCTTATTACACAATGTCGAATAATTAAATAACTAACTAATTGATTAAAAATGGCCGATAATGAAAATGAATCGCTGAAATTCCATTTCAAAACTGATGCGTGTCAACTTTCATATTTTGTCAAACCAGCTTTTAGGTCACGCGCTCTTCTGTGTTCTGCCAACAGATGGCGGTAGAATCAAAGAGAACTGTGATCTGACGTCATCCGTCACAACAGAAACATTGTTACGGTGAGCGTTCTATTCTTCTCAGGAATGTCTAAATACCTTTCTACCTATACATTCGAACCCGGAGATTGATATAATAGTTGAGTAGCGGTGTGCAGTAATAGTGGCAGGAGCAGAAGACGATAGAAAGCAATGTAAATCTCGTTTATATTTTTCTTCTAATAAAATGTATACAAAACACATAGACTAAGTGTGATTCCAGCTCCATGCGGACATGATTTATGAGACCTTTGCCTTAAGTTAAATGTATCTGTAAATTATCAGATTTTTTTTCCCTCTCAACTTATGAATATTCATAATGTGACGTTTGACGTTGCTCGGCAATTTTCCTGAAATGTCCAGTCACACAGTGACATTAATATTCATAAGCGAGTCTGTAGGGTTACGTCGCCAGCTTCCTACCGCCTCTATTAGTCGAAGCACCACCCACTTTCTGCGTTTCAGCCAATCAGTAAAGCCCGTCACGCTACCAAATTAATATTAATGAGCCGTAGTAGGCTTGGCTGAGCGCAGCCGCAGACACCGGTCCGGTACTCGGTGCTGCTGACCTCTCCTAGTCCGCTTCTGGATATGGGATGTGTTTTCTCTTAGTTTGGCCTTGATTTAGTACGGTGTCGGACATTAGTGCAGCGGACGCAGCGGTGATCGTAACAGGTATGTTATGATATGTTAATGAGCACCAGAGAGGGTCTGTAATAATACACACAGTTAATACTCTGAGGTAATCATTGCATTTATACTGTAATGTTCAGCTTACATTTAAATGGGTGTGTTATGAAGGGAAAAAAGGGCTCTGGGGCTTTGTTTAACCGCGGTTTTCTGTGGTAGTGAGCTGGTAATATCGAGTGTATTGTGTGATGAGGGTTATGCGTTCTGTCATAAACTCAGATGATTGTACAGTGAGTGACCTATGGACTGTGTCTCACATGCATCAGCAGTTATGCATCAGGACAACACCCCATCCTCGCACTCATCCCATACAGTATCACAGCAGATCTAAAGCCTGCTCTGACTAACAACACCTACACTTCCATACTCATAAACACTCAGTACAGTGCAGCAGAGGTAATGTTTACTGTCTCTGACTACACCCTGCTCACCTCATGCTTGAGATCATCATTTCTGCTGCTTGCAGTGTTCAGACATGATGTCCCTAAACTGTGCTTTGTGTGGTAGCATCTATATTCATTAGTTTTATTCAAAGTTTTCAAAAATATAAGGATTATGACCTGACTCAGGACTGGTTACACCAGCGATACCGTTATTATTACAGGAAATAATAAAAAAAAAATACAGGTAATTACAAAATGACACATTCTAAACGAGATGCACAGAATACATTATGTAAACGTAAAATAATGTAAACACTCCTAAATATAAATACAAATCATTTTACAAATAATAAATAAAACAAAATTTGAGTAAAGAGTAAACACTATACAACGATTTACACAATTCTTTATGCATTATACCGTGATATACTGTAATGAACAGCACTGCAATATAAAACACTTATTTCTGAATTCAAATTCAGCTTGAAATTGTTCTTGGAAGATATCAATTCAAAAATGGATTGATATCAATGAAGAAAAAGCCTTGTTGCAAAAATACACACACACACACACACACACAGAGAGTATATAATTCTATGGATTTAAGATTAGGATTTAACATAAACCTATATTTTGAGTTAATCTCAGACTGTCTTGTATCTCACATCCCCGCCGGCTCGTTTCTACATCAGGAGGAAGAGGTTTAGAGCGTTTGTCTGTAGACACGGCCACTCCTCACTTCAGCAAACAGTTCATGTCAATAATGCAGTCTAGATAAGAGCCACTTACACGACACGCTCGCTCACTGCCACTCACAAGTCAGCGCTGAATTCTGCACAGAATGCGAAGGCATTAATGATCAGATGTGCTGTAGTGTCTGAGGATGCTCAGTTTTAATTATTCTGAAGTAGGGTTGTAACGGTATGATATTTCCACGGTATGATAATCGTCTCCGAAAATATCACGGTATATACTAAACAATCATTCTTATCAGTATCAATGACTCTTAAAAGAACAAGAACAAGTTGTTTGAGTGAACAAATGCTTTATTACAACAAACTTGAAACAATTTTAATGAAAGTATTGAAGTCTCCCTTCTTTTTATCAATTCAAAAATGGATTGATATCAATGAAGAAAAAGCCTTGTTGCAAAAATTCTAAAAAAAAAAAAAAGTTATTTTGGCATAATAATTATTATTTATTTGAACAAAACCGCTTATTAATATTTGAAAAATGTTTGTCTGCCTGTTTACAGTAATGTGCTGCAACAAACATGCAGAAGCATACGGAGAAAACAAAACACACCCACAAATTACAAAATGACACATTATAAACAAGATACACCATATAATAGTAAATTCAACACAATTTGAAAGAGTAAACACTAAACAACAATTTATGTAGCCTAATTCTTTATGTGTTAGGGACATATTATAAACAAGATCAGCAAACAGTTCATGTCAATAATGCAGTCTAGATAAGAGCCACTTACACGACACGCTCGCTCACTGCCACTCACAAGTCAGCGCTGAATTCTGCACAGAATGCGAAGGCATTAATGATCAGATGTGCTGTAGTGTCTGAGGATGCTCAGTTTTAATTATTCTGAAGTAGGGTTGTAACGGTATGATATTTCCACGGTATGATAATCGTCTCCGAAAATATCACGGTATATACTAAACAATCATTCTTATCAGTATCAATGACTCTTAAAAGAACAAGAACAAGTTGTTTGAGTGAACAAATGCTTTATTACAACAAACTTGAAACAATTTTAATGAAAGTATTGAAGTCTCCCTTCTTTTTAAACAATAAAAAAATAAAGCTATACACCTTATGTATATCTATATCACACTTTAACATTTGAATGAATGTTTTAAAATGTTATCAAATGAAAATGTAACAACTTTTATTTTTGGCAAGGTTCTGGCACAACAGAGGTATACTACGTTAAAACATGGACAAACATGATATTCCTTAAAAATAATGTTTAAATAAATGCATTATTATACAGAAAATTATTATTGTTGTTATTATAACTTTGAAGTACATTGCACAATGCCAATATATTCGTCATAATTTCAAGTTAAACCCAACTTTTATTTTGACGGCTTGTAGCGGACCTTTGAGTTTCAGAGTGTATTTGAAAATGTTTTTTTTTTTTCAGATTCCCTCTGCATCACGGAAATCATACGGCCTTAACTTATAACTTTTTATAAATGCGAGTATGCGACACACATCTGCACGGAGGCATGGTGTCCGCGAATATGATCAAACATGTTGTATGTATTGCCTGCTTTTGCAGCCTCTTTGCGTCCACATTTTTTGCAAATTGGATCCGTCCTCAAGTACAACCCCGCGTTCGTTTTTTTATATCCGAATTATTCCCATACTGCAGATTTTAACTTTTTTTCCGGCGGAGATGGAGATTATATATAATCTCTGTCTCTGTCATTTTCTCCGCTGCACGAGTGAATGCAGAGTGAAGCAAAATAAGTTGCATGTGCGCGGGCGAGATTTTTTAACCGTAGATATGCAAATGTTTACGGTATGATAACCGTACACGTTCAAACCGTGGTAAACCGTCATACCGGTATATCGTTACAACCCTATTCTGAAGTCATTATTAGTGGTGTCTGCAATACTGTACGTAACAGCACAGCAGCGGTTTAATCAGTCAAATCACAAAAGTTGAGTAATATTAGCAAACGTAATTAGCGAACATCACTAATAATAAACAACACTGAACTACAAATAAACAGTATTTATTTAGCAAAAACTACAATCAAAGTGCAGTTCATGCATACATGCATTCATACACTGAAATTAAGTTTCTTGCTAAATGAACTCTAATGTAATCTAAAAATGTCACATTTAATTCAACGTGTTACTTGCCGTTTCTTTGTAATTATTTGTGAAATTTACTAGTCATTTTTGAGTCAGAATGGTTCGAAAGTAAATGCTACACCATTTTTCAGTGTAGAATGTTTTCTAACACTTATTTCTAAATTAAAACTCTTTCTTTTTTTTGGAAGCTATACATGCCCTGATATCATAATGAAGAAAAAGCCTCATTATAAAAATTCTAAGAAAATAAAAAAAGCAGTTTGGTGTATTAATTATTTTCTTCCCAAAAAAATGTTGCACATATGTTCAAGTTGTAGGGAATTTAAGTTTAAACTTTTGCTGAAAATAGTTTCAAACCGTATAAGACCAATATGATACCACTTTGTGTTTTACATTCGATTTTTTCTTTTTAATTTGATAAATTCGTATTTGTCATCGACCCAGATACATTTGAAGCTTTCAGGTAAGGACTTGCCTGTAATATGCATTAGAGGCCATAAATCACATCTAGCTCTAGCCTGTTATTGAATTCAGAATACTGCATATAATAATATAATATAATAATAACTAATAATAAAATATTTTCTCATTACTGTAATGAGAGTAATAATGGAATTTTTCTGCATTATGATAATGAAGACTGTGAAATTAAAATATTGTCACAATGCATCTTCATTTTCTATAATGTAACATGCAATGTTTACAGAAAACAAGGGCCATTTTTTTACCGTTAGTCATAATTAATACTGAACTAATACTGTTAGTTTTAATAGCACAGCCATGCTGGCATCACTGCACATCCACCTTGTGTTTTCCATCTCTCAGATTTCAAGACTGACTCAATATTTGTGTTCTATTTCTGTTTCATTGTTGCCATGGATATTAGAGAGGGATGAGCGGTTCGTTCAGTAGAGTATACATGAACACATTCACTCACTCTGAGCAGATTTTAAAACACTTGCCAACTTTGTAAATGGTTAAAGAGAAAAACTGGCCATCATATACTAAACGACTGAGGATCACACACTCACAGACTTTCAAGTTGTTCCAAACTCGATGACGAACTCACAACAAACAAATGAAAACAACGTGTGTAAAAAAATCGACTGAAAATATTAAACATATTTGATCTCCGATGACTGGATGGATTCATATTCTGAAGCTAAAATATCTGTGGCCATCATACACTACGCAATTTCCTGTGAAATCTTTAAACTCCAACTGCCCAAACTCCACTGACTCACTATGAATTTTAGCAACTATAGCGTTGACTGTAAATTGGGGCAAAAATCTGGACAAAATATGTGTAGTGTTTTCAGCCTTAAATTTTCCAAACTGTTCACCTTAAAGGAATAGCTCACCCCAAAATGAAAATTTGCTAACAATGAACTCACTCTCAGGCCATCCAAGATTAGGATGAGTTTGTTTCTTCTTAGTACCTGATGATTTTTTATGTTGATTCTAAAGTTCATTGCATTAAAGGACTAGTTCACCCAAAAATGTTTTGGAGAAATGTAGCATTGCATCACTTCCTCTGCAGTGAATGGGTGCCGTCAGAATGAGAGTCCAAACAGCTGATAAAAACCACAATAATCCACTTGTGAAGAAAAAACCTGCTTGATTGTAAGAAACAAATCCATCATTAAGATGTTTTAACTTTAAACGGTTGTTTTTGACTCAAATAAAAATCCATAATCCATAATAACCCTCCCTCCAGTGAAAAAGTGAGCCATCTCGCCTGAATCAGAAGAAGAATATTTTGTGATTTAAGTGATGGTTGAAAACTGTTAATGGTGGTTTTGTTTCTTACAAACACACAGCTTTTGTCTTCTCAAGACATTAACTGATGGACTGGAGTGCTGTGGATTATTTGTGGATTATTGTGATGTTTTTATCAGCTGTTTGGACTCTCATTCTGATGGCACCCATTCACTGCAGAGCATCCAGTGCTGAGACACTGATGCAATGCTACATTTCTCCATACCTGAAGATGAGCACATTTTCAGCAAATTTACTTTTTTTGGGGGGGGTGAACTGTTTCTTTAATGTTGTAGTTTACACAAAAGGCCTCAACAGTGGGGATTTTTATTTCTAACAGCTGTGCCTTGTCTTAGCTGTGCCTGTTGATGCATTATAGAACGTTTGTTCGTTGTTGTATTTTAATAAATGGTTATTATATTATAAGACAGAAAGGACTATTATCCATCATGTGATTGGTCAGTGTTGTGGATGCAAGGCTTTATTGATTGAGTGCGTTCACATGACTGGAGGCTGACTGGATGGGTATTACAGCATGAGACTGATGTTGTCAGGCTGAAGTGTAAATGCTTTACAGCCAGCAGATTTTTAAAACTCAAAGCTGTTGTGACAAGTTTGGTCAATTAAGGGATCCAAATAGGGCTGCCACAATCATGAAATTTGGTTGAATTATAGCATTATAATTGTTTCCTTCCTACATTTATTTAAGTTGCTGTTTAAGATTGATACACAAACATGAAAAGATACACAATAGGCTTGAATGTCACTGAAAAGTGCTTGAATACACACACACACACGTGTATATATATATATATATATATATAATTTATAAATGTATCTCTATCTATCTATACACATATTATTTAATCGAAATGTTAGCCGCTTAGTTTATTTGGTCATCTTTATGTTCTACAAATACAAAAGCAACAAATTATTCTTTTCCCTGTTGGATTTTAATTTAATATTGGTATTGTGGCCATCTCCTCTTCATCTGTCAGTGATGCTGGTGCAGGTTCTCCTCCCATTTTATGAGTCTCTGCCTTCTTGCTGTTGGCTTCTGAATAGAAGTCAAATGTTTTTCATTACCCTAATTAAGAAATGTAGCATGTTGGATTAGAGAACTTTTTTTTCACTGTGAAACATAACACGCGCTGGGAGAGCCCACTGACAACGTCGATTGTCCTCTATTTGTCTTTCTTCTCTAGTCACGTTTGATCTCGCGAGTCTCCGTAAGATGTCGTGTCACTGTGAAATCGTTCCTACAATCGACAAGTGTGTGGTCTCGCGGTCTGGTCGAATCGTCTAGTGTGCGCGTTCAGAGGATTATAAGGCTAAAAGTCGGTTAAAACCGTCTTCGTGTCTGTGGTCTCCCATAGTTTTAAAATCAGTTCAGATTTGAAAATTCCGTTCTCATTTGTAGATTGTGTTTTCCTCCTAAAAGTTTTTTCCTGTGTTTCCTGAGCACATAAGAAAAGTATATTTTCTTACTATTTAAGTTTCTACATTAACCACATTACGTAACAAATGCTTGCTCTAAAAACACTAATAATTTAATAGCATTGTTAATGGAGTGTCATCTTTAGCACATCTAAAATTGAATATTCATTTTTCATGATGCTGTAGTGTCTGACTTATGATATCCTTCATGTTTGTATACATTGGAGATTGCCATTTTTATATGTAATGTATGTTTTCCTAGCAATTAATAATTAGTTGCAAGTTCTACTACTGGATTAACATATTTAGAAATACATTGCAATTTAAGTTCACTAATAATGAAGTACAATGAGGTATAATTGAAATAATTCATAGGTCATTCCAAACCCTCAATCCTGCGCCTTTTCCTTCACAGAGCATGTCCACCATGGTTTACCCACATGAGGAGAGACTAGAGAAGCTGACGCAGGAGGAGATAATCTCCAGCACTAAACTGGTGATTCAGGGTCTGGAAGCTCTCAGGAGCGAGCACAACTCCATCCTGCAGAGTCTGGTGGAGACCATCCAGTGCTTAAAGAAAGATGAGGAGGCCAGTTTGGTTCATGAGAAGTCCAGCCTGCTGCGCAAGTCTGTGGAGATGATTGAGCTGGGCCTGGGTGAAGCGCAGGTGAGGGACGACGACAGTCTGTAGAATCTGTAGAAAGTCAGCATCCATTGCTGAACTAGTTAATAATGCAAAAATATTACATCACCTATATCACATATCAGGTGATGATGGCACTGTCCAACCACCTGAACGCAGTGGAGTCAGAGAAGCAGAAGCTGCGTGCTCAGGTGCGACGGCTCTGTCAGGAGAACCAGTGGCTGAGGGACGAGCTGGCCAACACACAATCTATCTATCTATCTATCTATCCATCATCCATCTATCTATCATTTTCTGTTTTTTATTCAGTTTAGTTTGTTTTGTTTTGTCATTTTGTTGTGTTTTTAGTATTTTTGTTTTCTTTTACAATATATCTATATCGTTTTTTTTTATAATTATCATTTCAGTTTAGTTTATCCCTTGAATTGTTTTGATCTTGAGTTAATTTTAATACATTTATAAGTCATTTACTAAATTAGAAAACTGAATTACAGTGTTTCTGGTGCAAGAACCCAGGACTAACATTCTAAGTGGACTTATAAATGAATAAAAGGGAACTTTTCTGGCTTAAATCTCCTCTGCAGCAATAGCCTGGCTTTTCTTGGGAAATGAGCCGTGTCCTTCTTCCTGTAAGTGTAGCCAGCATTGATTTATTGTCAGTTTGAACTGATGACTCTGTTTTGCTGGATGGAGATGTTACAAAGAAGATCTTCGTTGTTACTGCGTGATGAATTAGTAAATTGTATTCCTTGGCAAACAGAAGATCCTCTCCTTTACTTCAGTCCAATGTTTTTCATTCTTCTCTTTCTGCATTGCAAGCATTTGAAGACACTCTATCTGTTAAAATGACAGTTGCCTCCAGCTTGTCATTTATATTTCATTAAAGGCTGTTTCATGCAGTTACTTCCTGAATGAATGGAGCCATTAAAAGCCTTAAAGACAGTCATGCATGGACAGATGCAGCTGACTCTAGAAATGATTTAATATATAAAACTAATAGAAACAGAGCAGCACAGACTGTATATAAACAAGAATCATGCTAAATTGAATATTTAAAAAATAAATTATTCGATTTTGTTTTAGGAAGAGAAAAATAGTGAGACTCCCAGAGATGCCCTGGACGATTTGTTTCCCAATGATGAAGACGACCAGGGTAAGGAAGTACAAAAATGATACAATAATCACCCTAATTCTATAAGAATAGCAAAATCCACATTACAACTTGTAGTGTGGACTTCGCTATTCACTTTCAGAATGATTTTTTTTTCCAGCTGATGAACGATTTTTTATTGGATTCAACATAACTTTCACCTGTTACCTTTTAGTAGGACACTTGGCAGCTCTACATCGATTGCCTTTTTCCTTAACACATATTTTATTTCTAGCATATTAAATTAGGTATAATTCAAAAGCTTCAGTGCACTCAAAAGTCATCCTGTGAAAGCTGTATTCAAATTGGATGCTGCTTTACCATATTTTTCTAAGCTTATCAAAACATATCGGTGGAAAGGTCTGATACTCAAGGTTCCATTTTTGGCAACAATTTTGAAATAAAAGTGAAACGTGACAGATATGTAATAATTTGTGACAGGAGAAAGCATCACCTAAACAAAATCTGCCAGGAACTTCAATTTTTGTGATATCAACTTCAAATTCGGAACTCAACTTGATTAGACATATGGCTTTGATTTTCAGAGTCCAATTTATTTTGTAAAATATATATTTTGTATAAAATGTAAAACAAAGTTTGGTGCAGTGCATTTGCTTTACAACAGACTCACACTTCTTAAACCTTTTTACGCTTTCACTTCAGCATTAACCCGCTGAGTATTTTCTTTAAAAAGCGCCCAAGCTTTGGTCTGTGTACCAAAACATTTAAGAATTACAAACATTTCATTTCAGTGCATTTTCTCATCAGTTAACAGATATTAAAGAGCTCAAGCACCAAAAGCACCAGATGGCATAAAGGCAGTGTCTGCTTATAATAAAAAAGAACGCTATGGTCGTTAATATAGTTATAGTTATAGTTGTTCTTGGTGTGAACAGGCCATAATGCTTGTTAGCATTTAGCACTACTGACACTGTATGGCACATTTGATGTGAATTTGGCCGTCTCATTACTTTTGCATGTCCTTTCAGTCCTTTTGCATTGATGTGTGTGGATGCCATGTTGGTATGTTGGTGTACTACCCAATAGTCAATGCGGCGTTGCATTACCAAAGTGTGGATTTGAGGCTAACCACAAGAATGGCATTTGAGACAGAGCTGGAGAAACCATACAATTCATATTTTGGATATTAATGGTGTTACTCTCTGTCGCCCCCTTCAGTCTCACACCGGCACAACAGCGCCGGGCTTGCTGCCGCTCAGCAGGGTGGGTATGAGATCCCAGTGCGCCTCAGGACCCTCCATAACCTGGTGATCCAGTACGCCGCTCAGGGCCGCTACGAGGTGGCCGTGCCTCTCTGCAAACAGGCTCTGGAGGACCTGGAGAAAACCTCTGGACACGACCATCCCGATGTAGCCACCATGCTCAACATCCTGGCTCTGGTCTACAGGTGCGTGTGCTTGCTCGTGTGTAGATGCATGTCATTAATTACTCCACTCCCATGTCATTACAAACCTGTATGTTTATAGTTACATCAAACACAAAAAAAGACATTTTGAAAAATAACAGTAAACAGGCACTGTAGCTTTCTAGCATCATAAAGGACACAAAAGCATCATTAAAATGGTCAACATGGCTATCTTTAAAAGTAGGGCAGATGTCCGTATTTTCATTGAACACATAATGACTTATTACTTCAGAAAGCATGTCATTTAGTGCACAAGTCATTTGGACTACTGTGTCACTTTTATAGTGTATTAGCTTCATCTTTGAAGCTCCAGTTTCCATTATTTGTAAATGCATTCACAAAACAACCGGTGCATTTTTCAAAATTTCTTCTTTTGTGTTCCACTGAAGAAATAAAGTGATTTTTAAAAAACGTAAAGTTCCGGTGCTTGATTCTGATTGGTTGAGCCACGTTCGAAGCTGTTGTAAATTACTCTACAAACACACACCTTTGTTTACTTCTGTGTGTTGCTCTGCAACCACTTTGTTGGAACCACAACTGTTTCTGAGGAACTACATTGTTTGGTGGAAGAATACTGTTTTTATTAATATCATTACACTTTATTTGCTCTGTTTTATTTTGTGAAACCTTACTACGTATATGGAATAACCGTTTTATAAAAGCAATAATCCCCGTGAAGCCGTGGTTTACAGTGAATTTATAACAGCTAAGGGGGTTTTAGGCACTCTGCTTCACGTCTAACAACACCCCTTAGCTGTTATAAATTCACTGTAAACCACGGCTTCACGGGGATTATTGCTTTAGTTGGATTTAGAGTGATGTGATTGTGAGTAAATGAGGACAGAACTTACTTTCTTTAATCAGCAAGACTTCCTTCAACCAGCTTCACCAGAAAAGATTGAATAAAGTACAAAGTAAATCCGCAGATTCTGTCTGGGCCTGTTTATGTTGGGATGTACTTAATCATTCTTTACATTTCATCAAATTATGTCATATTTTATATATATATATATTTTCAATTCCTCATTGTTTTCAGCATCCTCTGTCAGAACTGGCAATTCTGTTTGCAAATTTGCCTAATTTGTCATGTTGTCATGGAAAACTAATTCTCCTTTATTGAATTTAGAATAATATTTAAGTGAAAGATATGGAAGCCCGTTTCCGCCACTGTATAAAAAATTAAATAAGGTATTTGCGACTTTTTATCACATGTGATACATGACACAATCTCGCGATTGTGTGTTATAAAGTTCAGTTCGGAGGAAAAAAGTTTATATATCACAATTCTGACTTTTTTTCTCGCAATTCAGATTTTTTTTCTCGCAATTGTAAGATATAAACTCGCAATTGCCAGTTATAAAGTCCTGAGGAAAGTTATAATTTCTGAGGAAAAAAAGAGACTATTTTTTTACAATTGTGAGTTTATATCATGCAATTCTAAGAAAAAAGTCAGAATTGCGAATTTATATCTCGCACTTTATTTTTTATTCAGTGGCGGAAATTGGCTTCCATAGAAAGAAGATTGCCCACTAGACCTACTGAAATAAGCATCTCGAAATGAGAATTTATTGCATTTCTTTTTACTCAGGGACCAGAATAAATACAAGGAAGCTGCTCATCTCCTTAATGATGCCCTGTCAATCAGAGAAAAGACCCTGGGCAATGACCACCCAGCTGTAAGTACTACAAAACACATATTACACTAAAAACAGGGTGCATATACAGTTGTGCTTGGGTTACTATCCACTAGATTTGCTACTAAATGTCTTCCAAGATTCAGTGCCTTGAATGTCTTGCAAACTTCAAATCAAGAAACTAGTTCTATATAGACCTATAGGAACGATGGCACTTTTCACATCATTGAGTAAAGCCAGGCAATCAGATTGGAGCCTGTGATTTTTGAGAAAGCTTTTGTTATATTTATGGCAAATGGTCCATGAACAGTACAAAGGCATTCTGTCTGGATCCACACTGCACCCTGTAATAATCAGTGTCCATATTCCATGACTAATCCAGGTGGCGGCCACCCTCAACAACCTGGCGGTCCTGTACGGAAAGAGAGGAAAATACAAGGAAGCAGAACCACTGTGCAAGAGAGCCTTGGAGATCAGAGAGAAGGTACTCTCACTAAAACCTGGCCTGCTTGTGTCGTGTCAACTGATTACAATGATATCTGAATAATCATGTCTTCTGTGACTAGTCAGCCGTATTGTAATGATTCCTCTCTCTTCTCTTTCGTTGCTCAGGTGTTGGGGCGGGAGCACCCAAACGTGGCCAAGCAGCTGAATAATCTGGCTCTGCTCTGTCAGAATCAGGGGAAGTATGAGGAGGTGGAGTATTATTACTGCAGGGCTCTAGATATCTACGAGAAAACACTGGGACCCGACGACCCCAATGTCGCCAAGACCAAAAACAACCTGGTGAATATAATCGGCACTCATGTTTGCACAACAAACCAGGCTCATGCATTGTTAAGAGATCTATGTTAAAACATATGTGACCCTGGAGCACAAAAGCAGTCTTAAGTCGCTGGGGTGTATTTGTAGCAATAACCAACAATACATTGTATGGGTCAAAATTATCAATTTTTCTTTTATGCCAAAAATCATTAGGATATTAAGTAAAGATCATGTTCCATGAAGATATTTTGTACATTTACTACCGTAAATATATCAAAACTTAATTTTTGATTAGTAATATGCATTGCTAAGGACTTCATTTGGACAACTTTAAAGACGATTTTCTCAATATTTCGATTTTTTTGCACCCTCAGATTCCAGATTTTCAAATAGTTGCATCTCAGCCAAATATTGTCCGATCCTAACAAACCACACATCAATGGAGAGCTTATTTATATCAAAGAATTGACTCTTATGACTGGTTTTGTGGTCCAGGGTCACATATCGTACTTCATATAACCTGTAATAGAAATAATTGTACACATTCCTTTTTTTAAGGGTATGTCATAATTGTAAAATTGCTTCTTTAATATTTTCCCTGCAGGCTTCATGCTATCTGAAACAGGGCAAGTACAAGGAAGCTGAGATCCTCTACAAAGAAAAGGTGATTTTCTCAATATTTAGATTTTTTTGCACCCTCAGATTCCAGATTTTCAAATAGTTGCATCTCAGCCAAATATTGTCCGATCCTAACAAACCACACATCAATGGAGAGCTTATTTATATCAAAGAATTGACTCTTATGACTGGTTTTGTGGTCCAGGGTCACATATCGTACTTCATATAACCTGTAATAGAAATAATTGTACACATTCCTTTTTTTAAGGGTATGTCATAATTGTAAAATTGCTTCTTTAATATTTTCCCTGCAGGCTTCATGCTATCTGAAACAGGGCAAGTACAAGGAAGCTGAGATCCTCTACAAAGAGATCCTGACGCGCGCCCACGAGAAAGAGTTTGGATCTGTAGATGGTACGATCAATGCCTGAGTATGGCTCTTCATTATTCATTAGCTGACAGACTGCATGCTTCCTTCTTACCACACACACACACACACACACACACACACACACACACACACACACAACCACATGTTGGGAACATAAACAAGAGCTTTCCTTCTACAGTACATGGCAAACTAAATTATTATTGCTTGTAGAGTGGTTAAAATGTACTGTAAGTCACTCTGTCTGTGTAGCCAGTTGTTTACTATTATTAAGCAGATTTAACTACTAATATATGATACATAAGCATACACAAAGTGTTGGATAATTTAATATGAAATATATTCTGAATCTTCCTACTACAGAACGATTTACTAAATGCAATTATCTAATGAAAAAAGTCATCCCGTTTAAAAGAGGAAAGATATGCATGCTAATTTGCATACTTCTACTATCCACTTCGCTGATGATGGGAAAGCAGTAAGCATTAGCATTTAACTAAGTTCACTACTTTATTGCATATTGTTAGGTTTTCATGCATTCAGCCTCACATTTCTACAACTAAATAAGTTGAAATAAACAAATCACACACTTCTCTCTGGTTGTACGTAATTATCACTGAAAAAGCACACTTGCGCCGCGTCTGATATTGAATACCTCCCTACTATATATACTGGAAAAATTATTTTTAGTTTATTAGAGCATGTTTTACAAGAAAATACCATATCAGATTTTGTACTTCAAAATTTCGTTTAATTCACAATTACTTGCTGTTTCTTTGTAATTAATTGTGACTTTTACTAGCAATTTCTAAGTAAAAAATTTTCCTATACCAAATTATTTTCAGTGTAGTAGATGAAATGTCCAAATTTGCAGTATTCATAAAACAGTACCTGCATGACTTACTAGTTCTGGTGATATTCTGAAGTGTCCATCCGATGTCTGTAGTATGTAGTATGTCTGGATTACAATCATACTACATCCATTCATGCTATATAGAATATACTTTTTTAGCGGTCCCAAAGTAAAGGTCACATTTACAGTATTTTACAGAATTTTTGGGGTGAAATACAGTCATTTCAGTTGGAAACTACAAATTTTGTGTATAATTTTGTGTGATTGTGAAAAAGTTCCCTATGCAGATTTTGCTCGTGTTTAGGTTGGTCACCTGAATAAGAGATCTAAGAGATCTATGTTAAAACATATGTGACCCTGGAGCACAAAAGCAGTCTTAAGTCGCTGGGTAGCAATAACATTAAGTAAAGATCATGTTCCATGAAGATATTTTGTACATTTACTACCGTAAATATATCAAAACTTAATTTTTGATTAGTAATATGCATTGCTAAGGACTTCATTTGGACAACTTTAAAGACGATTTTCTCAATATTTCGATTTTTTTGCACCCTCAGATTCCAGATTTTCAAATAGTTGCATCTCAGCCAAATATTGTCCGATCCTAACAAACCACACATCAATGGAGAGCTTATTTATATCAAAGAATTGACTCTTATGACTGGTTTTGTGGTCCAGGGTCACATATCGTACTTCATATAACCTGTAATAGAAATAATTGTACACATTCCTTTTTTTAAGGGTATGTCATAATTGTAAAATTGCTTCTTTAATATTTTCCCTGCAGGCTTCATGCTATCTGAAACAGGGCAAGTACAAGGAAGCTGAGATCCTCTACAAAGAGATCCTGACGCGCGCCCACGAGAAAGAGTTTGGATCTGTAGATGGTACGATCATTGCTTGAGTATGGCTCTTCATTATTCATTAGCTGACAGCCTGCATGCTTTCTCACAAACGGGATTTTTTTTTCTTTCTTTGGCAATGCTATGAAACTGAACTGTTGTCATTGCGGAATGATGCGTGTTGATGACCTCTCGCCAGCCATGACCTGGTGATGACTTTTCTGCACACCTGACCTCTGGTTTACTACCATTCACTGTGAGCCGTGGATTTCACAGAAATCCAGGAGCAAACACAACAGATAAAACATCTTTTTAATACCATCAAATATAGGGTTTGGGACTAAATCTTACATGTTCTTGCCATATATGTATATATGTTTTTCTGTGAAGATGAATTGACTTTCAAATATGGACGCTATATTAGTGAACTGCTTGCCTGTGCCAGGCAAAATATTCAATGTGAATGTCTCCAATATAAATGCGAAAGCAAAAGTGCAAAGCACTGTACGAACAACTGAACAGATGGTTTTTATCTGTGATTACTTGGAAGCTGTACAACTTTCAGGTGACGTTCTGCATTACGTCATTTGTGACTTTCTTTTATTTTCACAATCTCATCCTTTTTTTGTCATTTTATTTTGTGTTCTTTAATATGAGAAAATTGATTATCCCTTCAGAATAGGCCAATTTGTGTGTTGTTTATATGATTTTGTTAATCATTTTAATGTCGATTTCACACTTGATTTCAATAAATCAACTTGATTGATTTCTTCGTTTTTCTATATTTTCTGTTTCATACGTTCACGCCAAATTTATTTTGTGCTCTTGACATTTTTAATACATGTTCTCCTGGTGGACTGTTGGTAAATGACAGAACTTCAAGAATGTAGTTACTTCAGTTATTGTTAGATCCCATACGTATGGAAGCCCGTTTCCGACACTTAAAAAAATGGGTACTTTGCGACTTTTTATCTTACAATTCTGACTTTTTTCTCAGAACTGCATGATATAAACTCACAATTACAAGTTATAAAGTCAGAATTGTGAGATATATATACACGTAGTTATCGCAAAACTTGCAATTCTAACTTTTTTCTCGCAATTCAGATTTTTTTTTTTCTTACAATTGTGAGTTTATATCTCACGATTCTGACATTTTTCGTGCAGTTATGTCTCATTTTCTCAGAATTGTGAGATAAAAAGTCGCAATTTTGAGTAACGAAACCCAATTCTAATGAAAACAGACTGGCCATTTTCTTACAATTTTGAGTTTATATCTTGCAATTCTGACGTCATAACTTGCAATTGCGAATTTATGTCTTGCATTTTTTAGAAAAAAGTCTGAAATGTGAGTTTTTGTCACAGAATTGCGAAAAAAAAACAGAAGTGTGAGATAAAAAGTTGCAATTGTTAGTAATAAAGTTCAATTTCAACGAAAAAAAGGACTGACTATTTTCTTACAATTTTGAGTTTATATCTTGCAATTCTGACGTCATAACTTGCAATTGCGAATTTATGTCTTGCATTTTTTTTAGAAAAAAAGAATTTCAAGTTTGTATCACACAATTGGGAAAAAAAGTCTGAATTGTAAGATAAAAAGTAGCAATTACCTTTTTTTAGTTTTATTCAGTTATGGAAACAAGCTTCCATACATAGTGATTTTAACAAGTATAAAACTTAACTATGAAACTCCAATAACCTTTGTAACCTAAATCTGAAATTGTAGGAGGAACCCAGTCATATCTAGAAACTAGAATATCATCGAAAAAAGGCATTCAGAATGCCTTAGAAACAGCTTAGCAATTCCCTGGCTAGATTTATAAAAAATAAAATAAAAATAATTATGATTTTACAGTAGTAACTACGGTATTTGGCCGTTTTTACCATGTTGTGTTTTTGTAATGGCTGACTACAGTAGCAGAACTGTTTCTCTGTGTCTGCAGCTGAAAATAAACCCATCTGGATGCATGCTGAGGAAAGACAAGAGAGCAAAGTAGGTTTCGGCCAGCACATGCATGTTTGTGTGTGTGTGTGTGTGTGTGTGTGAGTGAGTGAGTGCGTGCGTGCGTGTGAAATGCTAAGATGCTCATATGGGAAGCTGATAGAGTGGGTACAGAAAGTCACCACCCGCTTTCAATATATTCACCTTTTGTTGCACAGAGCCTGAATTGAAAACACAATTCTAGCTTTTTACAAACAGAGGAAACGAATCCAAACAACTCTGAATAAGGACTGCACTGCAGTCACTCCACAGATTCTCAATGGGATTTAGGTTGAGCCCTGAGTAGGCCACAAGAGAACGGTCACTTTCTTGTCCTTTATGGCTGTTTTGCTGCTCAGATTAGGGTTACTGTCATATTGAAACAGCTGAAACTCCTGGCAGGTTCTCCTCAGTCTGCCAGTATTTTGAATTTTTCAGTCCTGGCTGAAAAGAAATGCCTCAACAACATATTTCTGCCTCTGTATCTTGTTCTTTGGCTGGGTTTCATCAGACACATTGACAATAGACTTCGTAAAGGACTAATTAATTCCCCGTGCCTTTCCACAACCTGTACTGTAAATGTTTTGAAGGGAGGTTGTGGCTGTCTGTACCCAGTCTATATGTATTTACAGCAAACACAGTATCCCTGTCTGGATGATTGACAGCTGAGAAGATTTTGAGACTTCACTGTCTGTCTCTGTGTGTTTTCCTCCTCCTTTCTCTCAGGGAAAGCTGGCAGATGGGAATCATTATGGGGAATACGGTGGCTGGTACAAAGCCTGCAAGGTGAACAGGTGAGAAAAAGCAGCTACAATTACCCAAACGTACCTGCCCCACAGCTAAAACTGCTGTCTGCAGTTAATTCAGCTGAAACTTCAGCTTAAAGGAATGTCACTTGAAAAAAAAGATGAAATAGTTTCTTTTTTGCAATTGCTGCTACTTTCTTCAGAAATGCAAACCTAGTCTGAATATTAAACGTGTTGGGAATTATATGAGACTGTGTTTTTTCATACACAGCCCCACGGTAAACACCACGCTGAGGAACCTGGGTGCTCTGTACCGTAAGCAGGGGAAAATAGAGGCGGCTGAGACCCTAGAGGAGTGTGCCATGAGGTCCCGCAGACAGGTGCAACATCTGTGAGAATCATAGCGGCGTATGCTGGGACACATGATGTCTTTGTAACGTGTGTGTGTGTGTGTGTGTGTGTGTGTGTCAGGGAGCGGCAGTGGATCCTCAGAGAGATGGAGAGAGGCGGAGGAGCACTGCATCCATCTCCAGCGTGAAGTACGACTGCAGCAATGACGCCGGAGAAGAGGGCAGTGTGGAGTGGAATGGGGTGAGTTAGTAATATCTTTGTCATGTTAAACTGCTTTAAGTGTATGAAGCTCCTAAGGGGACATGGTGATGAAAAAAATATGAGATGGGAAGAAAAATTATACTCTCGCAAACGTATTGCATTTCTCCGAGAAACGTTGTATTCTTTGTATTGCAAGATGCAAGATTACTGCGTTCCCCTGAGAAACTTTTGCATGTCTCGTAAAAATTTGCAAGCTCTCACAAATACTATTGAGTTCCCCCAAGAAACTTTGCATTTTTCACAAAACGTGTGTTCTCTCACGAACCGTTCTCTTGCAAAAGTATTGGGTTCCCCCAAGAAATATTGCATTCTCTCGCAAAACATTTGCGTTTTTTGCACAAGTATTGCGTTCCTGCGAGAATCATTGCATTCTTTTGCAAAAGTGTTGCACTCCCAAAAGTTGGGTACCCGCATTAAACATTGCATTCTCTCGCAAAACATTTGTGTTCTTTCTCATGAAAAGTATTGCGTTCCCACGAGAAACTTTGCAATCTCTCGCAAAACATTTGTGTTCTTTCTAATGAAAAGTATTGCGTTCCCACGAGAAACTTTGCAATCTCTCGCAAAACATTTGTGTTCTTTTGCAAAAGTGTTGCGCTCTCCAAGAAACTTTGTGATCTCTCAAAAAACATTCGCTCTCTTTTGCAAAAGTTGCGTATACCCGTATCAAACATTGCATTCTCTCGCAAAAGTATTGCGTTCCCACAAGAAACTTTGAATTCTCCCACAAAACATTTGTGTTCTTCTGCAAAATGACATGAACTTTTCTTGAGGGAATACAAAAATTTTGTGAGCTAATGCATGCATTTCTTGGGTGAACGCAAACATTATGCAAGAGAACGCAAAAGCATTGAAATATAATTTTACCGTCCACCTCATTTTTTTTTACCATCACCCTGTCCCTTTAGTGTCTCCGTAGTAAGTGGTTTTTTGGAATAACACTCATAAAATTTCCCTGCTATCTGACAGATATCACTTATTCGCCAATCAGAAATAGTCTGTATACCTGTCCATTTTGGGTTGGCTAACATATCTTTGTTTTGAAGAGTGGCATATGGCAAAAGTTAGCAAAGTAGTGTAAGTTAGTGAAATGGCCAAACTGCTAACAGCATTACACCATACTTGCATTAAACATACATTATCAATTTGCATGAAATCAAAATCTACCATATTTTCTTTCTTAATTCATGTTCCTTGTCCTGTTGTAAAATATTCAAAGGTACGGAGTCCCAAGTCAAGAATTTAAGAGGTTAAGAATTCAATTGTTGCCACATTGTGCTAATTCGTTCCCTGGCTTTAGGGGGGCCATATTTGGTCACAATATCTTGTTTTTGTCATATGCGGAGCTCCATACATCAGTGCATGTTTTTCTCATATGTGACCCTGGAGCACAAAAGCAGTCTTAAGTCGCTGGGGTATATTTGTAGCAATAACCAACAATACATTGTATGGGTCAAAATTATAGATTTTTCTTTTATGCCAAAAATCATTAGGATATTAAGTAAAGATCATGTTCCATGAAGATATTTTGTAAATTCCCTACTGTAAATATATCAAAACTTAATTTTTGATTAGTAATATGCATTGCTAAGAACTTCATTTGGACAACTTTAAAGACGATTTTCTCAATATTTAGATTTTTTTGCACCCTCAGATTCCAGATTTTCAAATAGTTGTATCTCAGCCAAATATTGTCCTATCCTAACAAACCATACATCAATGGAAAGCTTATTTATGCAGCTTTCAGATTTCCAAAGACTGACCCTTATGACTGGTTTTGTGGTCCAGGGTCACATATGTATGTTCTGTATATATTATTTGATTAAATATTAGATAGTATTTCTATGATTAAATATTCATCATTTGAAACAATCTTAATTAAACACACAGAGTAAAGCTTGAATTGCAAAACAAAATGATTAACACTTAGACTCCAGGGATACAATAATAATGCTGTGTTATCCGGCTGTTGGATTGACATCACTTTAAAAAATGAGACCGAGACAGCCTCTTCAGTGTGCCAAAGTGGCCGTCGTCCCCTGCTGATGGCATATCCTGTGTACTGCACAGCTATTGTAGACCATATAATTAAACATCTGTGATTATAAAGCAGAAGCTCCAAATCAAGAGTGCAATAGAGTCGTATTCCAGAAGTCAAAAGTCCATTCATTTTCTCCATATATATTTTTAACTTATAATGTAGAAATTTGCCTACCGTGAGCTATGATGCTAAACATTTATTTCAGTGAGAAACCAGTTTTTGCAGAAACCAGTGTGACTTGCATTTCATATCTAACGTGTGTTTAATTGGGTAATTCTATTGGTCATCACTAAATCAACCTTAATACATTAATATATACTAACAAAACAAATCCTTACAGTTCAAATCAGGTTGAATCTTGAGATACTAACAGATGTGAGTGTCTTCATGTGCGTTTATGAACAAACTCACTCTCTCTCTTTGTGTCTGTGTCTCTCTCTCTCTCTCTGCATTAGGCCTAAGCTCTGCTCAGCTTCCTCTGTCTGCTCTTGCAACAAATCAGATCTGATGTAAATGGTTTGCTCTCTGCCGGGTGGAGTGTGCGTGTGTGTGTGGAGAGAGACGCCCAGCACAGCTTTAACTCTTGCTAAGGCTGATGGGATATCATCTTACATTTCCTGTGTGTTCTTGCTCTCTCTTTCCCTGATTCTTCTTCCAGACACGGACTGATTTCGCTCGTCTGCTCACTCCTCCTTGTTCTCTGCGATGTCTGTTTTTGTGCCTGCATTGTTAACTGTGCTACACTGATTTATAACCTGTAATATACAACCTCAGTGACACTCTGATTTATGAACAGGCCAAATTAAAATAAATGAGAAATTAGATTGTGCCTATTGCACTGGCCAACTCTCAGATAAATGAATGTTTAATCTAACAAAAGGGAAAGTGTATATGGAAATACAGTGGAGTCCAACATTCCGAGTCTGCTGATAATTTCGCATTCTTTACCAAATTAATACATTTCTTTTATTTCCCAGTTATTTCATTGCCATTACAATTGAAAGGTTAAATTCGAAAGTTAACATAATTTTCCTGAACAAAGAAAGTTGTACAGTTTTGAAACAACATGAGGGCGAGTAAATGAGATACCACTTTAAAAAGTCACAAATTCACACTAGTGCAGAATTTTAAAGACTTCTTGTTCATTTTCTTAGTTTTACATTTATATCTTCGTCTTCAGATTTTATGGTCTCAAACTTTTGGACCTTGTTACATAACTCATGTTATAGCACAGTTACCGTTTAGTTCATTAGTGTTTTGTTGGATATGTGTCAAGTCGGCTAAACTCATTCTTCATTGGCTTTTGTGTTGCCAAAGACATGTGACTTTAAGAAAGGCCAAAAGTTCAGACAAATTCTGCTCAATATGCCAACAGCAGAGGCGGTGAGTTTCTTCAGAAACTGAAGCTATTTTTGCAATTCCGTGTGGTTTTGCTAATGGCATAGAAACGGCACACTTCATCTTTCAATGTATCACTGTATGTGTTCACTATTCAGGATTGGTGAATTAGTGCGGCTGTAGCCAATACTTCACTGTAGTCGATTGACTGCAGATTCATGGGATATATATATATATATATATATATATATATATATATACAGTATATGTACAGTATGTGGCTCTTTCTGCACGCTGATGTATGTCTTCATTAAGCTCATCTAACCCAATAAAGGCTTGGAGTTAGTGGCCTGGCCTCTGTCTGTGTGCTTGAATGTGAATTATGAGTGAATGTTTTATCGGAGGCACACACGGTGACCTAGTTTCTGTCACTGGCAGTGGTCACACAGCTGGTATTTGCCTCAGTTTTCTTCACCATGACAGCACAGAGCATGGATTAAAAGAAAAACCGAAGGGTCATTCCAGGTCTCGAGGGCGTATGTGCTGTTATACCTCTAAAACGTTTGATTTTATCATGATGGTGGCTTTAGAACTTTAGTAAAGACTGTTTGCATAGCTGAATGACTCCAAAACGGCAGTGTGTAGCTCAGATTAGATTTAATGCCAACTCGGTCGTATGGATTGGATTTCCACGTCGACAATAAAGCAGCAATGCTATAGTTACGTACCCTAGTAAACCTTAGTTGCATAACCTGAGTGCATGACGTGGTGTTTCTGCAAATACAAACACTTCCTGCCATCTGCTGGGCTCAGAGATACACTGCAGTGCTCCAGATCCTTTCCAGTATGAGGTATTTAACACGTTTACCACCGTGCATTGGAGACCATTGCTAATATGAGAGCTAATACAGTATATTGGCTAAGCTGATAACTCCTATTAGCCACTCAGTAACCCTGCTGGCCTATAATCATGCCAAAATTGACCGATTAACAGAAGTATGAATTCTCCTTTGTGTCAGGTCCAAGATCTACCAACAGCAAGTGCATACTTTATTAGGCTGACCCATAAGTTAGCATCACCGTGGTACCCTCAATAAAAACGCAATAGTATTTTTCCACTGACTTTTGTATTCAGTGTACTTTTAAATTACAATATTGTTACTCCATAAAAAAGTAACTAATTGCGTTAATTTTTATTAGCGCTGTCAAACGATTAATCACATCCAAAATAAAAGTTTTTGTTTACATATGTGTGTGTGTAGTGTGTATATTTATTATGCATATATAAATACAAACACATGCATGTATATATATTTTGAAAATATTTACATGTATATATTTATATTAATATAACTTATATGTTATATAAATATATTTAATATATAAACATAACATATTTTTCTGAAATATATAAATGCATGTGTGTGTATTTATATATACATAATATATTATGTAAACAAAAACTTTTATTTTGGATGCGATTAATCGCGATTAATCGTTTGACAGCATTCGTTTTTATGTAAGTAATTTATTATGTTTTGGCGACTGTATGGGCCCTCTCACGCCAAAAGTGAAATTAATAAGCCTCCGGCTGAAGGAAGTGCCTCTGTCTCTGCACTTTCTCCCAATTTCTCTCAACACAGGACAGGAGATCTGCCAGCGAATTAATGGGGAAACAAAGTTACTTGCGTTACTTATTTGAAAAAATAAGTAAATAAATATTTTCTTGTAAATTTTAAATTATAAAACGATGGTTCCGGTCCTTGATTCTGATTGGTTGAGCCAAGTTCCAAGCTGTCTTACCCACAACACTGTTTGTATTGTTGCAGATACTCTGTGACCAGCAAAAGTTCATCATAATAATCGCAAATGAACACAACTTTAGACTAAATTCAGTAAAAAGCAATTAATAATAATAAGCAAACTATAATCCCGGTCAAGTGACTTCACTGCGCTTCTGAAATACTCTGTGCGGTCGTCACCGGTTTACACGACCACAATGTACTAAATACGGAAAGGTCTTTCCTTGCGATTTTAAAAACATTTTTGTGTACAAGCGACAATGCTGTCAAAACAATCGGCGCTCACTTAAACCCCTGAAAACGACCAAAGCCTGGAATACACTATGTGATTTTTGCCCCAATTTTCCGCTGGTTTACAGTCTGGGAATCACGTAATGTTAGTGTGAAGGTCACAGACTCTGATGTTTTAGCTTCTGACTCTGATTCCATCCAGTCGGAGGAGATCAAACATGTTTGATATTTTGAACCGATTTTAGAACACATATTGTTTTCATTTGTCACGCGTCTCCTAGCAACAAGGCGCACGTTTCTGCGTGAGTTTGTTGTGATCGGAACGACTAACTTTGGTAGTGTATGATCCTCAGTCGTTTAGTGTATGAAGGCCAGTTTTTT